CTTCTGTATTAGCCTGGCTTTCATTAATCTTCTTGCCATCTTCTTTAACTAGTCATGCAGAACCGCTCGATAGCAAGACGTATAATGGGGAAGGCCCTGTGCCTATTACCGCGTTAACATTCTCTTAAACCCCAGTGCAACAATGGAAAGGGAAGGCAAAGGAAAGCGCAACTGCAGGGTGCGGAGCAGGCAATTCAATTACAGCCTGGGCTTACCTCTGTACTTCTGACCCACAAAACACAAGAGGCCTTTGTGTCTAACTGGCTTGGCCATTAAGGTTGCTGAAGATCACAACAATGCTGATCTTTTCTGCTTAAGCTAAATCAATGTGGACAAATCATTATTCAGCAGCTTTAATTTAATTAGTAAATTAAATACACTACTTTACAGATCTTGTCAAGTACTTATGAAAGAAAGATTCATTTAAGCGGGAGGTCACCAATAAGCCCAGCTAATTTAACTCATAGTTTTAACGGAATCTCATCTCAAATATCCAGGAGGTTCAGTTTACTAGGGCTTAAGAGCCTCCTGCAGCTGTGATTAATTCATAACCCCAAAGAGTTCCTATTCTGTGTCCAAACAGTGTTTTGGACAAAACAAACATATAAACCAAAAAATCCCCCACCAACATAACCAGCATAAACAGAATCAGATTTCCTTTAGATTATACTATTGCAAGAGAACATAATCAGGTTACTTCTATTATGTTGCTTCCTTAAGATTGTATATTATCTATACTTAATTGGGATACAGAGCTCTTTTCAGCTATAAAGACGACAGCTACTTTATTAAGGCTTAAATCTGATTTCTTAATGATAGGCTACTTCCTTTAAAGACTGAACCTGCACAAGCTTCTGATGAGACCAGGCCTGGCCTGGTGGAGAGTCTCTGATGGGGACGAGTTTCACAGAAAGGTCTCTGGCTTGTGTTTCAGCAGAGGAATCTGAGGCTGGCCTTGAAAAGACAGCCCACAGCGTCCAAAGCCTGCGCCTAGACCTGTGTGAGGATGGACAACGTAAGCAGGGAAGTGCGACCTAGAAATGTTCTCCTCTCCTGGGGCCAGACACATCCTTGGTCAGTTAAAAGAAATTAAAGTTAATTCACCTTTTGGAAGGTTTGTGACATAAATACATAAGCAGCAAAAGACAGCCTGAGGAGTGGCAAACTGGACTGAGATGTCAGTGCCTTGAGTAACAATGGCAGTGTGGTTTTCTCTTAAATCTAGAAGGCAGAAATTATTCTTAATTTTTCAGGGCTTGTGATAAGCAGATTTTCTCAGCTCTTTTGAGAGTCTGTATTTTTATGTACAATTTTTTTAAGGCACATATCTATTTAGTCATTAAGTTCCAGGTCCTTAAACACTCACAGGGACAGAGCAATAAATCTTCCCTCTGAGCACCTAAAAGGGAGAAGTGGAGGGAGGAAGGAGCCGCCAACTGCCACCTTGCAGTGCGGCCTCCGCCTCCACGGTACATGTCACTGTGTCTCTGTGTAGGCGCTCTGACGCTCAGTCCCTCTGCCAAGTCAGCTATTCACACACTTTTGGGATATGGCATCAATTAAACCTGAGTTGTGTTCCTTATGACGACCAAATTAATGGTTTGACAGTGGCTTTCTCAATAAACACTGCAAACTGGCCATATTCGAAGGGTTTAGAAACCATTTCTTTTCTGTTCAAAATTCTGACAAACATGTCTCAAGTAAGACTAGGGACAACTTCATTATCCTCCCAACACTTAATGCCTCTTTGTAAAGAAGGCTGTTTAATAACATGCCTGCTGTTTCCACAACTAAATTATTCCAGTTGGTCACACGTTCCGGTCTTCAGCAAGACACTTGTGTTACGAGAGATAAAAACATGAAAAAGGAAATATATTGCAGAAATCAAAAACCTTATCTACTTCTAGACTGGCTCTCTTTGCCATAATTCATTCAAGAAGGCCCCAAGAATAATTTTTGATGTAAACTCAGCTACAAACATACATCACTATGCTGATAAAAATCACAGGCTAAACTTATGAAATATAGTGACTTTCATTTCTTTAGTGCTGTTAAAATAACTTTTTTCTAAGGTTCAACAGACACAAAAGATAAAAAGGGTTACCATTAATCCTATAAAAAAGAAAAAAAGAAAGAAAGAAAAAGAAGCAGCCCCAGAGATTAATTCTTGGTCTCATGATGGTCTGAGGATGAACTTTTTAGATTAAGTCACTGAATTAATTTGGTGAAGATACTGGAAATCATAAAAACACACAGCATCAATCTGATTCATTTAACACCTCCTTGTCTGGGCACTTCATAATATAAATTACGCCTAATAACTTTTGGTTTCTAAATTTTAGCCTCATTAAGATCAGTTTCAAGTTGACATTTATTGAGGACAACTCTGCAGGCGCCATGTGAGGAAATGAGGATGCAGGAGTGGGGTAGGGTGCCCTGGGCCAACTGTCTCAGGGAAAGGGGGTGGGAGAGAGGGGCAGACCGCACGCAGCTGCACAGTGTGTGTACACAGGGTCTGTACAGTCTCCTGGGGGCCAAGTTAACAGACAGGGCCTTGCTGTGAAGCTGGCTCTTGAGAGATGAGTATGGGAGGTAGAAAGGTTGAGTTGGAGGAGGTGAGGTGGAAGGTAGAGTGGAAGGTGGACTGCCAGTGGGGTGCGGCAGCTCATAGTGACCGTGGTGCACATTTAGGATGGAAAAATTCCAGTCTATGGGGCCAGAGTGGTCAGTGGCTGTCAATGTCTACAGAGGCTATTCTGAGGAGTCTGGAGTTTATTCTGTAAGCCTGTAACTTTCAAATCTTTTCTTTTCTTTCTTTTTTTTAAGTACCAAAATCCTTTTATCTGTGAATTTTTAAAATACAGAGTCCCAAAATAGTAAAAAATAGATTTCTTCTGGTTGGAGGGAAGGCCTTATGCCTAATCCTGTCCTACACACACACACACACACACACACACACACACACACACATTCTCTCTCTCTCTCTCTCTCTCTCTCTCTCTCTGTCTCTCTCTCTCTCTCCCCTGAGCTCTGAGAACATGGAATGAAAGGAACTGCTATGGGGGACAGGGACTTAAAAACTATTATGGGACAGTGAGACTCTGTTCAGGAAAGCACTGCAGTTTCTAGATCTCTGGAGTCACAGTGAAAAAAGGAAACCTCTGTAAGATCCATGTGTGCAGTTTTTACACAGAACCATCTAGTATACCTAATAATAAGACAAGACTCTCCCAAGATTGTCAATACTGAAACGGCAGGCCCACGTATGTTCTGTATCTCCGATGTTGAGAAGTGGCCTCACGCACACACTTGTGATAATTACTTTTGGGCATCCCAGGATGCAACTGGTAGACAGCAGGGAGTCTGTCCTTCCTTCCCCTCCTGCTAGGTGTGCAACACCTGCAGCTTCCAGGGCTGAGCTGCGGCCTTCTGAGGCCCAGTGCGTTCCTGGTGAGAGTGTGAGAGAAACCTGGAGCCTGGCTGTGGTTGTTCCCTGACCTTCTCTTCCAGCTCATCCCTCCATGCAACACACAAGTGATCGCCTCTCATTTCTCCAAGACATAAGAAGTTCAAGAAACGTTACTTTTAAAAAGATCCTCAGTTTTTGGGAAGAAAGATACCAGAAGAGTGCCACCTTTACTGGCTGACAAGCTGGAGTGAGTGGGACTAAGATGATGTTTTCCAAAGGCAGAGGGAGTCCAGAAGTCATGGGGCAGTTCTCTCCCTGCCTCTTCAGGCAGCCATCTTGCAGAGTCAGAGGTCTCTCTGGGATGACAGGAATGAAAGAGGGGAGTGGGGACAGCTCTACTCCTTTCCTTGAGCCCTAGTAAATTCCCTTTCTTGCTAAATTAGAGGCTGCGTTGAAAGGAGAATAGCTGAATTTGACTAAGAAATTAAATAACCCAGCCCTAAATGAGGCCATGCAGCATGTGTCTAGTATGTGAGCTCCCTGAAAGGGCTCAGTGTTCTGTAGGCCCTTTCTTAGTAAATATTACCTCAAAATTTTGGACCACAAAAACCAAAAATAAAACAAAAAACCAACCTTGGGCCACATTATATGAAATACTTGCTGGCCTTGACACTTCTTATTGTTCCTTTTGAGTATGGGATTACATTTGTTCTTAAATTTGTGGACACTGAAACATGAGGGATTAATAAAAATTAGATGCTCGATCCATATGTCTAGTACTGAATCGGTATCTATGGGGTGGGCTCTGTGTGGCCACACCTCAGACAGGCTCTGTAGGCAATGCTGGTAGGTAGTATCAGAGTTTGAGAACCACTATTCATAGCCTTCTCCAGGCAGCTCATGAAATCTTACATAGTTTAAACTTTTTTCCCTCCATAGAGGAATTTCAGTGTGTCCTTTCTTCCCCCTGATGAGACTGAAGACCTAAAAATGATTGATTAATCTATATACTATATCTAATTACTTAACTGCAAAAATATGTCAAAATACACAACCAAACTGTATCTGCTGCGATAATTTAAGTGGAAAAATGCTAACCCAGCAGCTATCTCTTCTGTCAGGCCAGGCAGGACTTGAATTACAAGCTGGTGGGTCATGCAGGTGCCAATAACCTGGAGGTGCTGACACTTCTGGCATGATGGATATCTAAATCTAGCTTTTAGATGCTGGGAAAATCCCTGGTTCCCCTGATCTGGCACAGAAGAAAAGCAGGTCCAGGTCTGATTGGCCAAATGGGAAGGGACAGGAGTACAAAGTGAGACGGGATTCCCAGGAAAAATCTGCCCCATGCTCCAGCCCCCAGGGCAGGGCTGTGAGGTTCTCTGCGCCATCAAGAACAAACAGGGTAGGGGCTCACTTCAGGCTCTGAGCACCAAAATACAATCCTGTTTGATTAAAAGAAATTTCTGGTAATGAATTAAACAGACCCAAGGAAAAAAGGACACGCTGGTAATATATTCTCCTGGCACCCAGCACACAGGGGAAGAGAGGGGAAAGAGAGGAGGAGACATAAATAAAAGGGACTACTCACTGGGGCTCTTTTCTTCAGCAAGGTCACAGGCACAGAGCAGGTCAGAATCGATTGAGATGGGTTTCTGCTTAATCCAAAACTTCGTGCTGGCTTTCTGATTCGTAACAGGGTCTATCTCTACTTTGTCTCCAGAGATACCTGGAAGGCCAAGGGGAGGACAAAAAAGAAAAAGTGGAAGGTGTAAGTGATTTCAATGTAACAATCTGACCTGTTTTATAAATCCTGAACTTGAGGAACAGGAGATCTCTTACCGCCCCGAGGAACGCCGGGCTTCTTACGACAGAGACTCTAAATGGCATGGAAAAGTTGCACAGTTTGGTTTTCTGAGAGGGTGAGCTATGGGGGGCAGATAACAACCAAAACTAGATGAAAATCTAGTCTTGGTAAACGTGCCTTTGAGATATAATATAGACACAATAGAGAATTTACCTACATATTATTAACTACATTATTTCTACATTTAATGAAATAAACTATAACTTAGGGTCATTTAAAAATAGTTTTGATCAGTGTTTTTCTTTCTTTTTTTTTAAAAAGATGACCTGGGTTGGACGAATTAATATTACTTATGCTTAAAGAGTTAAGCTACCCATGAAGAATTTCTGATCTGGAAATTTTTTACATACTAATTAAACAGGGAAAAAAAATCTCTCTTTCCTTCTGGGACACTAAATAATTACTGGAACTATATTTAAGGAAGTCATGGGAGGATCAAAGGGTCTTTTATACAAAGCCTTCCAAGTTCAAGTCCTGGAGCCTGGCTTCAGGCTGTGGAGGCCACTGGGTTCTCTGCTGAGGGACAGATTAGCACTGGGTATGCGCTATGCAAAAGACCTCGAAGCCAGAAGCCAGAATGTTAAATATTGGCACTTCAGGTTTTATTTTAGGGCTGTGAAAGACATATCATGTTGCACAGTGGCTGGGATTAAAGGTGTTTGTAGAATAAAGACAGCGCCTGGCACAGGAGGTACCCTGGTGTCAGCATGGACACGCACAGAAGTGGGTCTTCGGGCATCTCAGGAGTGTGCTCTCATTCTTAGCTTGATTCTCATGATCTAACCTAGATGCACTCTTTTTCTTCTTTTGCTGAAAATTGAAGAATGTGTTCATGAAGTGAGACAAAAACCTTTAATACACCCTCCGGAGTGAGCCCCATATGGAACCTTAAAGTAATTAATTTTTAGGCCATAGTTTAAAGGTCAGGGTCAAAGTCCAAAAGAAAAAAAAAAGCAAAATGAAGTCAAGATATAAGAAACAATTAAAATAATCAAATGTACATACTCAAGTGTAATAGAAAAAACAAACAATTGGGGTTAATAAATTTCATCCTATGGATTGTACTTAGAAAATTTTGAACAAAATATGAGAAAATAGTAAGCCAGAAGAGGTGGCAGATAAAAGAAAGGGCTTAATTAATGTCCCCTAAAAAACCAAAATATAGACACACACAAGAACCACAGTCTGATAGAAAACTGGAAATCAAAAAGAAAACACCCAATCTTGGTGATTAAGTCTGCCACACACTCCATTTGTTCCTATTTTACATTTTGGATAGATTAATTCCAAATTCCAGTTAGACAAGGCAAAAGCCGGTGGACAGATGGATGAGAGAAGGGCTCTGCTGTCTTCGGAAGAGACAGGGCAGTGATATGCTTAAGCCTGGTCATTACGTAGTCTTAGGTAAAGACGAACAACTGGTTTTTATTTTTTTTTAATTAATCAAACACTGAGATTTGTCATCCGACACATTTCAGGAACATCATATTTCAATTAGGTATCATGTCATAAGTCCAATTGACACTGGATGCCCAGGTCTAGATGATTTCAGTAGAGTGAGAAAGTACCAGGAGATCAATTTTATTACATTTCACTTAAAATAGATTACAACTTCCCAGTTACACTCTTGCCTACAATTTGGTCATTGATTGCAAAAGATCTGGACATATATATAGTTTCCTGAAAGAAAAGTACTTAAGCCATGGGTGTGAGAAGCATATATGTGTATGTGTGTGTGCAAGTGTTTCTTCCTTATTCTTCTTTTTATTTTATTTTGACATTTGTAAAAGTCAAAATGTGCATATTTCTTATGTGGAAATAAACCCTGCCCCACATTCCTTTCTCAGAAAGAGAGAAAAAAAATCATCACCCGAGAGAGGTAGTTTAGAATTTTGTCCTGTGGCCCTGCAACTCCTGAAGCCGTAGTCAGTCAATATTGTTAACGTACCTTGTTAATTTGATAGGATTTGTCAGGTAACTCCACTGGAAAATTATATAAAACTGTTCCAGATGAAAAGATGATAGTGACATGAATTAAAGTGATAGAACAATAGTGGAATATAAACCAGAAATGACACCCAAAGTGGCTGTTGATTTATTGCCATACTGAGTTTGGTTCTGGGCTCCCATGTATATTAGTGCTACAAATCTGGGTCCATTTAGCAGAGGGATGCTCATACATACATCACCAGCTCCTGCTCCAAGCCAAGGTCACTCCCCATTGCATCAATCTTTTCAACACAGCCTACTTCACAAAGCAGGACTTCTGTAACCATCTCAGATGTAACAGACTCTCATCCTCTTTCATCTTTCTTTTATCATGTAAAGTACACTTTAACTTCTATTATTTTTATCTGCAAATTGTTACTGTATGGTTCATCCATTACAGGCTGTATCTCTGCATCAGTTGCCTAAGCTTTGCCTGGCCACAAGAGCACTTTCCCAATGACACCCTTTCCTGCGGTTACTGTGCAGTCACTGTACCCAGAGAGGAACCCCAAGGCTGGGGCTTTGGAAAGGAGATGTGGGAAATGAACACAATAGGTTGAAGATGGGCAGACAGGTAGAACACCATTTTAACATAAAAGATGCATTAAATTGGATTTTTTTGTCCCTCAATTGAATCACATTTTTCCACTGACTTCTTATTCCAGTGATACTTTATCTTCATTTTGGATTGATCTGTAATTGGCAGGGACTCCCCTCACTTGAGTTTGAAGTTTTTCTGCCCCGCAGCCTTTCAGTCAAGTAGTTAATGATCTGTAAAACTCTTGCCTGCCTCCAGGAGTCACTATTTAAAGGAACCTGTAGGGGAATCTTTCCTGATGGGAAAAATCCTTTGTAAGTCAAATAACTTCACTCTATTTGAGAAATTTGTGAGTTCTCAGCTTCTTAAGCTGAGCACTCAGCCCCACAGGGCCCTATTTGCTCTTCTTGAACAAGCACTGCACCCAGTCTGGATGGGCTGGAGGCTGCCCACTGTGGAGCCCACCTTGCTGAGCTGGCCTAGACCCTGTAGCTGAAGAGAGTCACAGACTCCAGCCTAGAGGTTTCCCTGGCTGGGAGACCTAGGTCTTCTTTTGGGTGGAAGTAGTAGTTAGCTTGGCAGAGGGAGACCAGTTATATACGAGGCTGGAGCCACAGTCCATGTCGGGGATGGGGACACTGAGGTAGGTTGTGGTCCTGTGGAGGAAGAGAGATTAGGTGCCAGAAGCAGCACTACTTCCAAGTGACAGTGGAACACGAAAAGACTTGCTGAGGCTCATCTTCCTCAAGACCCAGCAGGTTTCATGCTAATCACAGACACCATGCATTAAGTGTCTACAGCATTTTAACACAACTGGTACGAGTGATGTGCAAGCATGGTTAGAATTCCATTGTGTGCACTGATTCAAATATCCTAACAACCTTATGAACTTGGTTCCTGCGTTCATCCTTGTTTTATAGATGAAGAAACAGAAATACAAGGAGGTCACATAACTTGCCCAAGGCCAGTCAGTTCTTAAATGGCAAAGCTGGAATGTGAACCCAGGAAGTTCTAGCACCTATGCTCTCAGTCACTACACTGTTTGCAAGAACTATGTTAAGTGTTTTACACAGCATACTCTGGGAGAGTGGAAGGTGCTTGCTTCCAAGTGGAGAAGCCATTTCAAACCCTGAGCCATCTTGTTCTCAAGTCCTGGTTCTTTCCCTGGCTCTGCCCAGCCTCATCCACTTCAGTCAAGAAGACAGAACAAAAACTCTATCCAGGCCACCTTTTAACTCCTCTCTAAACTTTCTTTCTTTCTTTTTAAATATTTATTTTTTAGTTGTAGTTGGACACAATACCTTTATTTCACTTATTTATTTTTATGTGGTGCTGAGGATCGAACCCAGGGTCCCAAACCCAGGGTCCCAAACGTGCGAGGCTAGCAACAACCCCAGCCCCCACTCCTCTCAACTTTCAACGAGGAAAAAGTAAATGCTCAGAGGTGCCAACAAATGCACACATCTACTTTTGTTCATATGTGGCAAACTGGAGCGCAAAACCCAATCAATATTCTTTCTTTTGACTACTGCACATGGTATTCCTTGGCTAAAATTTCTATGTAAAATCTCTGAAGGAATAATAAATAATCCTTAGAGGGTTATTTATGCATGATTTAAAGTAATTCAAATTACAAATGTATTTCCAAGGAAATATAGGAAGCAGACTTTTGTCAAATTTAAATTTCTCCAAATTAAAAAGTCAACACATAACCAAAAAAAATTATGCATAAGAAAAGGTTAACTTGCTGCATACAGTGGTGCACACTTTTAATCCCTGCAAGTTGGGAGGCTGAAGCAGGAGGATGGCAAGTTCAAAGCCAGTCTCAATAACTTAGTGAGACCCTGTCCCCAAACAAAAGGACTGGGGATGTAGCCTAGTGGTAAAGCATCCCTGGGCTCAATCCCCAGTCCAAAAAGTTGATTTGAAAAATTCTTATGACACAATGCTAAATGAAAAGGGCAGGAAAATATTTATAGAAAGGAGATGAAAAGGATATGTTCCAAACTATAACTGAGGTCACTTCTAGTCAGTAAGATTACATTCTTTCCTTTTCTGTATTTTTCCAAAATAAAAACCTCGCCAAAAATTAAAAATAATTTTTTTTAAAGTGCTGGGGATCAAACCACTGAGCTATATCCCCAGCCCAATAATTATTTTAAAAGTTGGCTTTTTGAGGACTGGGGTTGTAGCTCAGTGGTAGAGTGCTCACCTAGCATGTGTGAGGCACTGGGTTCGATCCTCGGCATCACATAAAAATAAATAAATAAAGTCAATGTGTCCATCTACAACTAAAGAAAAATATATTTTTTAAAAAGTTGACTTTTTTGATTCC